GTGGAAGCTCTTTATACTGACTTCAGTAAAGCATTTGACCGAATCGACATACCATTATTACTCTTTAAATTGCAAAAAATAGGAATGAAATCTAGACTTCTGAATTGGCTCCAATCAGAGTTCGTTTTCAGAATAAACTTTCAGAACCTATTTCGGTCACCTCTGGGATGCCCAGGGTTCTCATTTAGGCAAAATCCTTTTTATTTTGTACGTAAAAGTAATTCTAGCGACACAGAAGAATTCCAGAATGAAATCAACTTATTCAACACTTGGTGTAGTAAAAATCTACTCCAACTTAATGTAAAAACCCGAATTTATCCACCTATGGTGTGATCAGACCCTTCTTACTTATTCAGGTTTATTTATTTTATTGTCATTATCAGTGACCAAGCCCCCCACCCCCGTGTCATCCAGTGACGCTACGCCACTGCCTGGGGGTACCCGGAATATATCTGGGTGTAGTCTATTTGGTGAGGCTACCAATCACCTTATCATCGTATTTTAATGTGATTTAATGGGTTTTAATTCAATTCATATTCAAGCAACTTCCCCGGGGTACCCGGAACATGTCCAAGTGTGTCCAATGTGGTCTGGAACACTTAACACGACTTGCATTGATCTTATTTTTGAATTCTGTAGTAATTTGATGTATGCATGATGGTTTTAATACGTTTTCCGTTAAATCCAGCGTGAAGGCCCATATTCACCGGATCTTATTCCGGCCATATCTCCGGAACCGGTTTACCGATTCCAAAACCGTTCAATAGCGTTCAATGGGACCCCAAGACCTATCATTTGGCGCCGAGTTTGTCCAAATTGGTTGAGCGGTTGCTGAGAAACGTGAGCGCATTCATTTCGTTACATACACACACACATACACACATACACACGTACACACACACACACACACACACACACACACACACACACACACACACACACACACACACACACACACACACACACACACACACACACACACACACACACACACACACACACACACACAGACATGTTCCGATCTCGTCGAGCTGAGTCGAATGGTATATGATGGTTTTGATACGTTTTCCGTTAAATCCAGCGTGAAGGCCCATATTCACCGGATCTTATTCCGGCCATATCTCCGGAACCGGTTCACGTTATATACACACACACATACATACATACACACACACACACACACACAGACATGTTCCGATCTCGTCGAGCTGAGTCGGTCGGTCGATAGTCGGTTTTTCAAGTGATATCTATACCCTTCTTTGTAAGAAGGGTAAAAATGTAACGCAATTGTATTCAGCAGAAAAATAGAAACACTTCTTTTTGAAATATTTTTAGTAGAAAAATGTAAAATTGTAAGGGATCTAGGTGTGATCCTACACCCCGAACTCATTTTAGTAGAACATTATAATGCAATCATAACGAAAGCTTCATTAAGAGGTTCAGCTATAATTTTCAAGACCCATACACTATTAAATTATTATATATAACATACGTAAGACCTATTATGGAATACTGTAACCTAGTATGGGATCCGTACATTGCCATACACGAGGAACGCATAGAATCCATCCAAAAACAATTCCTTTTATATACCCTTCGCAAATTGAATTAGATCGCATTTCCTCTTCCATCATATGAAGCACGCTGCATGCTCATCAACTTTGTAATTTTTCGTTTTTCCCGGCAAGTTCAGTAGCAAGAGACCCCTCGAACTGGGTCTCAGGATCGGCTTACTACTTGGTAATCTCGAGGAACTTCGCGGACAAAATGTGCAGCGTACGCTCACCTGACTAGAAATACTGTGTAGTGTGAATTTAATTTAATGATTTAAAAATTTACTTTGACTGTGAGGGTTTTTATTTTAACAAATTGGTGTGTTGGTGGGATTGGGTTAGATTTCTGTAGTCTATTTTTCTAATTGTGGATGTGGATAAAATTACCTTCGTTCTTCGGTACGTACCACTGCTTATTCTGGCGTCCTGCGAGCGGTCGCTGCTGCTGCTGCTGCTACTGCTGCTGACGACGAGCTGGCAAGCTGATTCCCAAAGCAGTGGGTAATTACTGTTACCGCACGATGGTTTGACGGGGTTTGTCGATGGTATGTGGCTGTGTAAGCCTTTCAGGCGTCCTTCCTCGTTGACGGAGATTGACACGGCCCAGGGCGATACCAGAGTGACCGTGTCAAGAGGGGGAAGGCTCCTTTACGTTTAGGGGTTTCGCCCCCGAGCTTGAAAAGCCTCCTTACGGGCGGCTGACCCAGAGGTTGGATTGGTCCTTTGCGGTTAGACGTAGCAAACCGAGGTCTACTACGCCGAATCGTGTGCACCTGGTCGAGCTTCTCACCAGACAAAATGGCGACTTTCAGTCGAATTTACACAATACAAAAAGGTCCTGTGAGGGTAATGGGAGGTATTAGAGAAGCCGTACTAATCTTCTAGTCATTAGTAGTGAACTAGATTTAGTTAGTTTTTAAGCGTAGGATAGGTCATTAGCGTACCTGACGAATCCGCCGTCTTCTCCCTTTTTCGCTGGATACCACTCATTTAACAATGTGAAGGACACTTTAAAATATGGTTCTTGTGCACACGAACGCCTGTAACTTTCTGAGCAATGGCGCTCCTCCTTATTCTCATCAACCCCGTTGTAGCTTCTTTGTTGCTGTCTGTAAGGTTGGGGGGGGGGGGGGTTTGTTATCACCACCTTTGTAAATTTTGACCCACTTCGCCTGCTGGTCTACTTTTCTATCATTTAGTTGTTGCGATTCACCCCACTTATTTTGTACAAAATTCAAATTCTACTAACCTATAACATTTTTAATAGACACTAGGTACATTTTACTAACATTTACTGGCCTATAACATTTTTAATAGACAATAGGTACATTTTTACTAACAGTTACTAGCCCTACTACTAACCCTAAATATAATCCAACACCACTTAACTCTAGAGACGTGACTGTACACAAAATAAAAGCACAGATAAAAAATACTAACAATTTGTAACAGTCGGTTACAACTTACAAACACTCAAAGAACGCCGCGAATTTGCAATGCTTTTCTTCATCAATGACATTATTTCACATCGCATACACACCTAATCTAGCTCGGTAAAATCTCCAACAGCCGATTACCTCGGCATTTACTTTTACTGATATATCTGCAAAATATCTGTTTGTTAGCTGATACCTCAGCAAAATTATATTTGTTAGCTGAGTCTCGGCAATTGTTTTACTGAATCTCAGCAAAATAAATTACAGAACTACTCGTCTGTTGGAATTTCGGCGAAAAAAATTAAGTGTGTAGATCATCAGAAATACTATCACAATTAAACTTCTACACACCCTATCGGCATCTAAGAACACGAAAATTATTCTCAGAAAAATCACACAGAGCAAATTACGCAAAAAATGGCCCCTTCAATCAAATGATGCGACAGTATAATCTACACTGTGAAGCCATTAGCATCACTATGTCAAAAGAAGAAATTAAAACCCAACTAAAACATAATAGAAATAATGCATAGTATGTAAGTAAAACATTGTAACTATTGTATGTAGTCTACTTTGCTTGACGAAGTAAATAAATAATCGAAATGAATTTTTAAATAAATCTATCAATAATTATGCACTTTGGACGAAATATTTTTTTCTATTATGTACTACAAAGAACAGAATGTAGAAATTTGTTTATAGATATGAACAATATATGTAGAGAAATCATCGATTTTTCGAAAATGTCCATACTAGCAAACTGGTTTATCCACCACCGGCTGGGCGACATCTGTGGGATTTTTGACGTGTCAAAAAATACTATTAAACATCTATTCGGCCAAACTTTTTTGTGTTAAACATCCATTCGGCCAAACGTCCATATTATCAACGCCCATATACCAAACGGGGTATCTGTATCTGAGAATATATAGAGGATTTTTCCAAGTCTCACACATCTCACTGTTACCGTTCTCAGCATATCGCTCTGAACGGATTTGAAATACAATGATTTTCAAGTTACAAAATCTCGTTGAATTCTATATACTATTGCATTCCACACAGCATGTACATGTGATTCTAACAAATACGGATAGCCTGAATATCATAAGTGATAGGTATTTCTATCATAAGGAGACATGGAAAATGAAGCACCCAAAAACATTGAAAGCTCCAAAGAGCAGGCAAAAATATACTTCTACAGCGAAAACAAAATTGCTTATTCAGCTTTTAATCAGCTCAAATTGTTTGTTGGGCAATTACCTTTGAAAAACTTGTGCCAAGGTGGAAGGCGAATTATACCCAGTATCCCGTTTAAAGTTCTGTTAGACGATAAGTTCAAACCGACGGCATTGCGAGCCTACCGGATTTATGACACGGGAATTCATCGAGCGGTCAAGACTTACGCGGATACACACCAGATGAGAGGTCTGAAAAATTTCTCGACTTCCCTGGGCATAAAGTATGATTGTACTTGCTTGCCACACAATAATACTAATGCAAAAATGGTACAGGCATCGAAAGCTTTCAATTAATAACTGTGAATGTGCATTTAGAACACTAAGTTGAGAGCACGTAATAAGCTAATAAGCGACAAGAAATGCGAAGAAGAAGAAGATTTAGAGAAGCGATTCATGTTTCCAATCTAACCAAGGTTGCGTCGTCTAACTTCGCATATTTTGTACTTGTAAGTTACGAGAGGAGTTTGTAAAGTGTATTTGTTTAACACATGAAACCTGTCAATTTCGGTGCCACTGGAGCTGAATTGGAGCTAAAATAAGCCTGTTCGTAAAATAGTAATCAATAAATGAGGGACATGAAGAGTCTTGGGCTGAAAGTCTCCTTAATAAAGAAATAACAACATGAGGAACATAAAAATTCCCAACAGCACAACACGGTCAATAGATAATCAAATCCTAGTTATTCGAAAATAGGCATTAATAGCGTGCATAAAAATAGGAAAAGTCTATTAAACTTTTATTCTAATTAGGCTAGTTCGTACAAAAAATGGGGATTGCTTTTTAAAGTTGTCTGAAATATTTATTATTGATCGGCTCTGCGTTCATGGTATAGATGATGTGGAACTCGGTGTTTATGTTATTAAACGTGGAGAGTGCAGATCATACACGTTGTCAATCGGAGGACAATGAGTAGCCGATGGTGGGCCCCAGTCGTGCAAGCCGCTCGAATTTGCCAGTCTGTGTGTTAAACGGTGAGCGATGCTGAAACCTCCACTACCCTCCAGCTGTGTGAGAACTATTATTACCTGGAAAATATAAAACGAAAAAGTCGTCAACACCCAAGTAGCAATTTTGCTTTTATGATGGTTCTGCAGACCATGATTTAGACTTGTAAAATGCTTTGCAACTTGAAATGTTACAACAAACAAGAATCTCAGCGAAATACGGTGTGCTGAAGCTACGTAATGCCTATAATCGGATATCAATCTCATATTGGCTTGATTTCCTATTCATATGGGACAGTTATGCGATTATGGGCAGCATAGGTAGACAGTATTTGAGATATCTGAAAGCAAATTACCTGTCGTTGCAAAGGAGGAACCGAGTCAATCGTTTTTAGTTCACCTCTAGTTGAAACTACATTGTAGCTTTCTTGGCAGTCACATTTCACGTGAATCCATTTGTTTTCGTGCCTATTTTCTACCATTACGACCAGACCTGCCCAACCCTAAAAAAAATACAATCTGTACAGTGACCACAGTAACAAAAATGTATTTTTTTTTTGTTTTACCTTCGTGAGATAATAGGCTGTCATGCCTTCGCGACCCTCGTGTCTCTGGCCTTTGGTTAACGTAAGGCTAATTATGGCATCGGCCAGGAGATACGGCGGAGGAGTTATCTGTTCAACTAATAACTTTTTTGAGCTATGGATTGCTAAAACGCATTGGGGATACAACGAGGGATCCTCGATACCAGTATGCCAATGATTGAATGCAAGACACACTAGAAGATAGAGATCTCTTTCCAGCATCTTATGGCACCCTACAAAACCGCGAACCTGTGATAAAAAAAATGTCAATTATGCCAATAGTAGCGTAACGTAAACGCAAAGGAGTTACTGTTTACCTGTCTTTTACTATGCTCTACCAGTCTTCCTACTTCAGGTTTTGCTGGATTTCGAGTTCTGAAAACTACTACGCAGAGATCAAGTTGGGACCTTTGGGATTTTTCAGAATTTCTGGAAAAACAAAATTTACGGTTCAAGTTATGAATAATAGTGGCTATGACATTTTAGAGATTACAATATATTGCATTATAACATAAGTACATTGTCCTACAGCACAGAACAGAAGGGAAAGTGCAAACAAATCGGTGAATCAAAAAGTGGTTCGTTTTTCTGCGCAACAAGCGATGCATTGTGGTAGCGTTTCACACGGGCTTATATGTGCACTCACACTATCATAGCATGCTGCGTATTTTAACTGCAGGCAGAGCCACTTTCTGATCCGAAGTTCCACTCCTGTGCCTACAGCCTTTACGTTTCTTAGATGCAGAGAAAAGCTTTTTAAATTTAATTTATTGTTGACTTGAAAATTTTACAGCACGATATTCGTATAATTCACAATAATAACGATAAAGTACGCATTTTTTAAGGAAAAAGGGACTACCCATTAATTGAGTAAAATTTTACCGATTTATGTGTAATTGTAACTACAACATTGAGTAACAGTTATTCATTTGTGAATAACAAATACTCATTAATGGGTGAACATTTTACTCATTTAATGCCTCGACAATGCTTACTTTATAGTAATTATTGAGTCCTACATAGTCATGATTGAGTATTTTGCGGTTACCGTGTTGGGTTGTTAATGACGTCAGCGTTATACCCCGTACAGACATGTAATATAGGCTAGCTTGCAATGAGCACTCATACATCTAGTTTTCACTGGAAATTCTATGTATGAGTGCTCATTGCAAGATAGCCTATATTACATGATATCAGCTATAGTCTGAACGTACTATTAATGTCTGCAATGGAAATGCAGACGTTAACGACGATAACGTCACATACTGGTTCAGAATCTACTTTTGTTAGACAAAAATCGTAACACCCACCCATCCATCCTAAAGTTTTCGGTTGGATAAGCATTTTCTTTTGACATAATTAGTTTATTTCTAGATTACACCGCTCAGATGGCGCTACAACTAACTTTTTACAGAAGCATCCTACCAAAAAACTTTCTTGAACTAAGTTTTTTTTTCCTTGATTTTGTTTTCTTGTTCAGAGTACCAATGCTACCGACGCCAGGGAGGCAGCTCCCACACATAGGGTCCAGGTGTGGGAGCCGCCTCCCTGCCTATCGACCCATCAACTTATGAACCGGAACAAAGTAGTTTGTTTCAACTATTTTGACAACTCTTCCGAAGACGTGTAACAAAAAACTACAAGCGACAGCCTTATGGGGTTGTACGCAATGGTGACGTAGGACTACGTGGTCTTAAATAATAAATCTTATTTGCAGCAGAAGCTTGTGTTTTGTGTAGGAATAGGAATTTGAGCGGGGTTCTCTCTGTTTATACTCTTTAATATGACGAGCTTGACATAGATGGCCCACAGCGGCTCACGAAGAGCTACTGATTCCGGTCAATAGCGGTACGGCTTCTTCCTCCTTCTATGGATGCTCATTTTGGCTACAGCTCTTTGCATGTAGGCAGCCTTTCGTTATGTACTGGAGAACACCACCACTCACCACGCGGTGATTGAATAAACACCGTTTGGTGAGACCGGATGGAATTCAACTTTGACATCTGTGTTAGGGAAATCGCTTTTCGCAGGCAATTGGCGATATTTTTAATTATCATAGCAACAGTTGCACATCCGTGCAATTTTCAATTGTAATTTTTTGAAAAATGATAACAGATTCGTATATAAAATTCCTATCGATTGGCGAATTAAGAATTAAAATCCATCATCTCTGGATCCAAATCGGACCACCTTCATGCCGCGACCGACTTTGGTTTTTGAAATTGCACCCCCAATGTTGTTGTCATTGTTTACAAAAGCTGTTACGCTCTAATTCCAGCTCCATCTTGATATGGGAACTGACATCTGATTGATGGCCTTGACAAATGTTTATGGTGGTGGTCCTGAAAAGGACCGTTTTGTCGTGATGTTTGAGTAATGCTGAGCTATTAGGGTGTTAAACACAGATGAGGCTGGTGAGTTGTATGTTGTTTGGAATGAGGGTGACGTGCTTGGCATAGATGGCCCACAGCGATTCACCAAGAGCTATTGATTCCGTTCAATAGCGGTGCGGCTGTTTCCCCGTTCTATGGATGCTCATGTGAGCTGCAGCTCACTGATTGTAGGAAGCCTTGCGTTGCGTACTGGAGAACACCACCACTCACCACATGGTGATTGAATAAACTCCGTTTGGTGAGACCAGATGAAATTCAACTTTCAAATCTGTGTTAGGGAAATCGCTTTTCACAGGTGATAATTTTAACTATCAAAGTAACAGTGGCACATTCGTGTAATTTTCAATAGTGACATTTTGAAAAATGATAAAATCTTAAATTTAACCGAGGGGGACGACTCTATCTACGATGCAGAAAAGATTGTGTTTTGCTGTGGATAGCTGCACGCACGCTGAGTAGATAGAAGGAAGATTTATGTCAATTTTGAAGATTTCCTGCAAAAAGATGAACACGATGCAAGTAGATGCGAGAAATGAAAGATGATTTTTCGAGGATTGATTCGCTAGGGTGAGATTTTTTGAGCATGTAGAATTGAGATTTAGATGTGTCGTCCCCCTCGAATTTAACAGATGAGTAGAAATATATCTAATCGATTGGTGATAAAATTATTGAAATTGGTCCAAGAATAGCTGGGTTATTAACGTTCAAAATCTTTCATAATTTTGTTACATGTTCCATTTTCGGTTTTCACAAAGTGTACCCCCATATAGAAATCACATCAAAAAGCCTCACGTTGCACGATCCAGTTCTCTTCAGGATACACACTAAGATTTTTTTACAGGAGTCAGTATTTTTTTACTGGGTTTTTGAATTACTGAAAATGTCGGTAAAAATTCAAATGACCGTTATCCGTAAGGAATCAATGAAATCGACCAATTTTATTTTCTATCATTAAATGGGGTTTACAGAACTAAGTATGTACAAGTTCAGAACAAATTTTCTCATTAATAAATTTTCCACAGATTTTTAAACTTTTACCGAACAGTTCCGCAATTCAAAAACTCGGTAAAACCGTACTGACTCGATTAGTGTGTAGTTATTGGTAAGCATTGAAGAGTATTGAGCTGAAATAAAGCTGCCCGTTTTTGCCCCTTTCAGATTAGGGTAAAGAACTACTTCGGCCTAATCGCCCATTTTGGGCCTATCGAGCAGAAAACTTCAAATAAATCCATGATTTCAGAGTTAACAAGTGAATTATGCGTTTGGTACGATATTTTAGTTAATAAGCTACCGAACGAAGTCAATGAGAACGCGTGATATGAAGGTTTGCACCCATTGTTCCCAAAAACAAAAGAAGCGCTCCGACCGAATCAATTTTTATCTTCATCCGATAAGCCGAAGTGAATTCATTGGCGCTTCAATGGCGTTTCAATGCGTTAGGCCGAGTTTAGAATCCGTAGGCCGAGTTTAGAATCCGTAGGCCGAGTTTGGCGACAAGAAGCAGTGTTAGACTTTTGACAATATCTCAACGATTGGTTTCTTTTTATCAAATCTTACGGTACGTACGGAAAGGTAAATAAATTTGGAAGCCATGGGTAATAATGACATTGCGTTTGGTGCTAAACTGCGCTAGATTAAGAACGATTAAGTGCGGGTTGTGCTTAATAGGCCGGAAATGGGGTAATTAACCCTATATGGTTTTTTCATTATTTTGATAAAATACGTAATAAATGATCAAATAAAATAGGCATTTCGGTAGGAATGTACATAAAACGGCATAACTTTCTCGAGACACTTTTTACCTGTTCAACAACTTTGAAAACGTTATGTAGGGTAAATTTTACATTCAAATTAGTTTCAAATGACATAGGGTCTTCTAATTTCACTGATTTGCATCAATTGGTACCAATATTGTTTTGTTTGTTTAAATTTTGAAAGTTGTTGAACAGGTAGATTGAGGTTAGGGCCACTGCTAGGAAGCTTCTGTAAAAAGTTAGTTGTAGCGCCATCTGAAAGGTTTGATCTTGAACTAAACTAATTACAGGGTGGCCACAGAATTTTTATTTTGAAATTCCCGGTTTTTTCCCGGTTTTCCCGGTTAAAACATTAATATTTTCCCGGTTTGCCTCAAACAAAATAAAGTGAAAATAACTAAGCAAGTTTTCGACAGTTTTCATCCACAAAAACAGAAAACCAAACTCATAGCTGAATCCAGATGAAGATACAAAAATAATAGGAAAATATGTTTATGTTCCATACAAAATGGTCGTATCAGTTTATATTTAAAAAGAAACCTTAATATTACACTTTACTTTCTCAGCTCTATTAGTTTAACGTTCAAAGCAGCAGCCTCTTTCTCTGCGTCTGCCAAAAGTTTAGCCTTTTTCATTTTCAGCTCTTTTATTGCTTTGTCCGCTTCCCTCTTTCGGCTAGCTTCTTTATCGCTTGCAATCCCCTCAGCTCACTTTGCATCCAAAAATTCCTGGTACCGACCTCGGGCGTTTCGACAGTACTGAATACTTGAATGTTGGTCACACCACCAGCCGCTAAAATCCCATCATGTACAGTGCGTTGTGCTTCCAGGCTTTCCTTGGATTGATTTACCACCAGGCACTCCTTGTTGACGGAAAATCTGCGCTCCTGGGCTGCATTTCCGTGAGATATTATCAATATCTTCTTGAAAAACGATGCCAAATTCGGAAGCTGTTTTCCAGAATCAGCAATTGCCTTCAACCAGAAATGATCGACCCGTGCCTCCTTGAAGAAGGCCATCGTGCAAATTTGCATATATTTATCCTTCACCTTGTCCGCAACAGCTCCAGCCAAATGATCTTTCTCCACCATATGTTCCAAACAAAACTCAAGTCGTTTCTTGGCTACATCTGGGGAGTTTGAAATGACAGATGGACTTAAACAAGAAATATACCTTGTTAGAGCATATCGAAGTGACGAACGATCGAGGAGTTTCGTCAAAAATGCAACATAATAGTTTTTGCAGTCGTTGCGAAACACCAAGAGTTGTTGTTCAGACTTTTT